CTCTCCCATATATTTCCAGACGTTTTCACGACACACTGCAAAATCGGCGCGTCCATCGCGTCTTCGGACAGGAGGCGTTCTGCGTGCAACGGACGAATCCATTTCCATAAAACAGAGGACTGCGGTTGTGGATGACTCGGTGCACGTGCAGTTCATGCTCAACGAGTATTCGTCAACCGACCCACGAACAAACTTCCGACCCTGCTGTTGTTATGGACTGTGTGGAGTATGCAGATTCGCGGGTTCAATGGTCAGGTTGCACTTATGGTTGTCGCATTGACAGGCATTTGTTTGCATGCTCCAAGTCTAAAGACAAGAATATAATGATAACCTGCCGAGCGTGAAACGCAGCTCAATCGCGATATTTCTCACACACTCGCAAAGTCAGAATCTCCTAAATGATGAACAGTTTATATATTTAAAAAAGACGCACATATTTGCATATAAACAGACATATTGTGTATCACATGTCACATAAGGCACGTGCCCACTTGCATACTTGCTAATAATTATTTGGGTCTCTCTTACCAGCCAAAACAGAAACACAAACCGGGATGGGTAATTGTTGGGCACATTCAACACTACCCCCCACCTGCCCAGACCCTTTTGCGACACTTTTCAATGCTCATTTCGTCCTGGTTTTGCAAACAGTTATATTTGTACGACCTGGTATGACGTCATCCAACAAGCCAACAGGCAGGCTCTTTGTACCACGTGACTCCCGAAAGTTTCCTGGACTGGCGTGCGGCGGTTGGCGTCTGAAATAATATTGATGACATTTAGTTAAATCGTGATTGCATTTTATTTAGATAAAAACCATAGCGGAATTGTTTGTTTGTAGTTTTACGCCGCAGTCAGCGATATTTTAGTTTTATAACGGCGGGCTGTACGTAGACGAGTCAGGCAAACCTGTGGCTGAAAGCATGAGCAACGATCCATTGTCGGCGATACAATGGATCCTAATCAGTCGCGTCTCACAGCCTGGTCACCAGATCCCCATCATAACGTAGGGGTACAAAGACCTAGACACCATGGTCTGTTATTATATTACATGCAGAGCAGTACGATATTGAAGAAAAGGACGAAATCATCTCAAATCAGTCAGTAGTATATGTTGATACGCTATGGATGATATAACAATTATTGTCGAACCGGTGAAGTCGGTAACAGAGTTAACTCACCCTGAAGCCTACAGCGAATGACCGACCCCCGAGTTGGGTAATGCCCAGCACTGGTCAGGGACGGACACGTCACGCCGGTCAAGTAGGTCAGTCAGCGTCTAGACGCTATGCAAATCACTGAGTAATACGGAAGCTTAAAGCGTGAAGCGAGCAAGTATAGGACATATCTGATTTATATTTGATTTGTGTAATAGGCAGGTGTCTCAACCGTGTCTCCAGACGTCTGGACTAAGAGGTCAAATTTGAAATCATGTCAAGGGCGTTTTACTTTTACAATGTGTACTTTCGAAACTTAATTTGCTGCAGAGAATATGGGCATATCAGTCGTCTGTCATATCACTTCTCGCAAAATGTGTAACACATACTTACATTTTTCTAAGAGTGCATTTGCAGGCATCGACAAACAGACATGCAGTCAAGGAAGATGAGTGAGTGAGTGAGTGAGTGAGTGAGTGAGTGAGTGAGTGAGTGAGTGAGTGAGTGAGATAAAATTATAAGTCACATAGGCAACATTTCAACCATATCATGACTATCAATACAAGGAAGATAAGACAGATATGATTGGCATGTAAACCAGACATGTAGACAAGACAGATATGACAGACATATATGTAGACAAGACAGATATGACAGACATATATGTAGACAAGACAGATATGACAGACATATATGTAGACAAGACAGATATGACAGACAGACAGGCAGACAGACAGACAGACATGTAGACAAGACAGATATGACAGACGGGCATGTAGACAAGAACGATATGACAGACAGACATGCAGACAAGACAAATATGAAGACAAGACAGATATGACGGACAGACATGCAGAGTTGACAGACGGACATGAAGACAAGACAGATTTAACAGACGGACATGCACAAAAGACAGATTTAACAGACGGACATGCAGAGTTGACAGAGAGTCATGCAGACAAGACAGATATGACAGACGGACATGGAGACAAGGCAGACATGTAGACAGGACAGATATAATAGACGGACATGTAGACAGAACAGATATGACAGACGGACATGTAGACAGAACAGATATGTAGACAGAACAGATATGACAGACAGACATGCACACAAGACAGATATGACAGACAGACATGTAGACAGAACAGATATTACAGACGGACATGTAGACAAGACAGATATTACAGTCAGACATGTAGACAGGACAGATATGACAGACAGACATGTAGACAGGACAGATATGACAGACAGACATGTAGACAAGAGAGATATGACAGACAGACATGTACACAGGACAGATATGACAGACAGACATGTACACAGAACAGATGTGATAGACAGACATGTAGACAAGACAGATATGACAGACAGACATGTAGACAGAACAGATATCACAGACGGACATGTAGACAAGACAGATATGACAGACAGACATGTACACAGAACAGATGTGATAGACAGACATGCAGACAAGACAGATATGACAGACAGACATGCACACAAGACAGATATGACAGACAGACATGTAGACAGAACAGATATTACAGACAGACATGTAGACAGAACAGATATTACAGACAGACATGTAGACAGGACAGATATGACAGACAGACATGTAGACAAGAGAGATATGACAGACAGACATGTACACAGGACAGATATGACAGACAGACATGTACACAGAACAGATGTGATAGACAGACATGCAGACAAGACAGATATGACAGACAGACATGTAGACAGGACAGATATGACGGACAGAGGGACATGCAGATATAACAGACGGACATGTAGACAAGGGAGATATGACAGGCGGACATGTAGACAAGACAGATATGACAGACAGACATGTACACAGAACAGATGTGATAGACAGACATGCAGACAAGACAGATATGACAGACAGACATGTAGACAGGACAGATATGACGGACAGAGGGACATACAGATATGACAGACAGACATGTACACAGAAACAGATGTGATAGACAGACATGCAGACAAGACAGATATGACAGACAGACATGTAGACAGGACAGATATGACGGACAGAGGGACATACAGATATGACAGACGGACATGTAGACAAGAGAGATATGACAGACAGACATGCAGACAGACAGATATGACGGACAGAGGGATATGCAGATATAACAGACGGACATGTAGACAAGGGAGATATGACAGGCGGACATGTAGACAAGACAGATATGACAGACAGACATGTACACAGAACAGATGTGATAGACAGACATGCAGACAAGACAGATATGACAGACAGACATGTAGACAGGACAGATATGACGGACAGAAGGACATACAGATATGACAGACGGACATGTAGACAAGGGAGATATGACAGACAGACATGTAGACAGGACAGATATGACGGACAGAGGGACATGCAGATATAACAGACGGACATGTAGACAAGGGAGCTATGACAGACAGACATGTACACAGGACTGATATGACAGACAGACATGCAGACAAGACAGATATGACTGACAGACATGTAGACAGGACAGATATGACGGACAGAGGGACATACAGATATGACAGACGAACATGTAGACAAGGGAGATATGACAGGCAGACTTGTAGACAAGACAGATATGACAGACAGACATGTACACAGGACTGATATGACAGACAGACATGTACACAGAACAGATATGACGGACAGAGGGACATACAGATATGACAGACGGACATGTAGACAAGACAGATATGACAGACGGACATGCAGAAAAGACATGACAGACGGACATTTAGAAAAGACAGACATGTAGACAAAACAGATATGACAGACAGACATGTAGACAAGACAGATATGACACACGGACATGTAGACAAGACAGACATGTAAACAAGACAGATATTACAGACAGACAAGACAGATATGACAGACAGACATGTAGACAAGACATGACAGACGGACATTTAGAAAAGACAGACATGTAGACAAAACAGATATGACAGACAGACATGTAGACAAGACAGACATGTAGACAAGACAGATATGACAGACGGACATGTAGACAGAACAGATATGTCAGACGGACATGTAGACAGGACAGATATGACAGACAGACATGTAGACAGAACAGATATGACAGACAGACGGACATGCAAAGAAGACAGATATGACAGACAGACCTGCGGACAAGACAGATATGACAGACAGACATGACATATGACGGACAGACGGACATGCAGACAAGACCGATATGACAGACGGACATGTAGACAAGACAGATATGACAGACGGACATGACATATGACGGACAGACGGACATGCAGACAAGACCGATATGACAGACGGACATGCAGACAAGACCGATATGACAGACGGACATGTAGACAAGACAGATATGACAGGCAGACATGTAGACAGGACAGATATGACGGACAGACGGACATGCAGACAAGACAGACAGACCTGCGGACACGACATATATGACAGACAGACATGTAGACAAGACAGATGTGATTCTTGTCTACATGACTGTCTGCCATATATTGCTTGTATTCATTTCTCCGTGTCTACGGCCTTTTGTCTGCCGTGTCTGTTTAATCTACATGACCGTTTGTCTGTCCGTGTCTGTATTTCCGTTTTCCTTTCATGTCTGTTTATTACATATTGTCCGGGAAGTCATCAACAAACTACGCCGATATACCACGTAGATAAATAATTTACGAAATATTGTTTTTTATGCTTTTTTGTAAGTAAAAACGTACAAGTGAAACGCCCTAGACATGACTTCAACTTTGACCTCTCATTTCAGACGTCTAGAGACACATCCCAGACATCCCACCCTCATTTACAACAAATGCATGGTGTTACAACTGTACATATACACACTCAGTCATATTTATATCCTATAGGTCATATAATTGCTCACTTCGCGCATTGCCGGAACATATTACTAAGTGATTTGCATAGCGTCCAGACGCTGACTGACCTACTTGACCGGCGTGACGTGTCCGTCCCTGACCAGTGCTGGGCATTACCCAACTCGGGGGCTGCAAGCTGCAGGGTGTGTTAACTTTGTTACCGACTTCATCAGGTAAGACGATAATTCTTATATCATCTATAGCGTATCAGCATTTGACAGTGATTCATTTGAGATGAATTTCGTGCGTATCTTCAATATCGTAATGTTATACACATAATATCTCAACTCCACACACTCCACAACATAATACACTAAAGATCTACTCGTCCGTGAATCTGAAAATGTCAGCTCGAAATTACTTATGAAGATAAATAGCTCACATTTTACATATTAACCTGTATGTTGTGAATATACCAAGCAAGCTTGTCATATAGCCAATGTGTTTCTTTAAAATGTTCGCGTACATATTTTATGGTAGTATTGCCGATTGATCTCAAAGGTTGGTGGGGGCGGTCGAGTAGCCTAGTGATTAAAGCGTTCGCTCGTCACGCCGAAAACCCGGGTTCGATTCCCGACATGGGTACAATGTGTGAAGCCCATTTCTGGTGTCCCCCGCTATGATATTGCTAGAATATTGCTAAAAGCGGCGTAAAACCGTACTCACTCAATCAAAGGTTGGTTGGTTTGTTGTTTAACGCCGCACTCAGCAATATTCCAGCTATTTGACGGCGGTCTGCAAATAATCGAGTCTGGACCCGACAATCCAGTGATTGACATCATGAGCATCGATCCACGCAATTGGGATCGATGATATGCATCAACCAAGTCAGCGAGCCTGACCATCCAATCCCGTTAGTCGCCTTTTACGACAAGCATAGCCACCTCTTACGGCAAGCATGGGATCTCAAAGGTCGTTATTTATCATAACTTGTTTTGGGGACATGTTCATGTTTTGGTTTCGTGAATGTCTGAACCAAATGTTTATTAACCATTTACTTTGCTTCAATAACACATGTTGAAGACAAAGAGCTAGGACACAGCTATGCTCAGCGCCAAGCATGCAATGCGGTTTGTTTATCTCATAATGTAAACTTTGATATACAGCTTCGTGGTCTGAGCGCTCGCCTCCCTACACTGCTGTGATCTGTCGCTGGGTAGCGTAAGACATGCGGGTGTGTGAACGGTATTCCCTCCCGCGTGGTTTTCATTAAAGCGAGTGAGTATATGGTCTTACGCCGCTCTTAGCAATATTCCACAAATACCACGGCGGGGGTCACCAGAACTTGGCTTCACACATTGTACCCATGTCGGGAATCGAACCCAGGTCTTCGACGTGATGAGCAAACGCTTTAACCACTAGGCTGCCCCACCGCGCCTGTTTTCATGACAGTAGTGGGGGGGAATGGGGTTTCACGTCGCGTTTAAAATTATTGCACCTAAACAGCACTAGCCCGCCATGCCGGTTTAATAGTGATAGCCCATTGAGATATTATGCCCAGTTTACCATGGATGCCCCACTCAGACACAGTAAACTGACTCCGAGCCGACCAGTCCTTGTTTTAGCCCCTTAATGCCGAGCGACAGGAAGGGTAACAACAAGTACCATCTTTTAACGTCTTTTGGCATGACGGGGCCGGGAATCGAACCCTCGACCTTCCGCTCTCTGGACAGACCCTCTATCAACTAGGAAGTCCTTTATGAAAGTAGTAGACGCCTATGCACTGCAGAACTTCCTCGATGTTAAGGTACCTGTCTTGATACAACTGAAATACTGTTCAAAGCTCCTAAACCCAGCTTATGGTTCCTTGCACATAACACTGCTACCCCGCCAAACAGTTTTAAAAAGCTAGCAACTTACAATGGATTTATGACATTGTCTATAGAACCGGTCTCCAGCGACCTATTTATATGCATTCCGTAAGCGGCTACTGATGCATCTGGTTGCCAGGCTCAATGACGTTGTCACGTGACTTTGCTCATTATATCAATCACTGGTTTGTCTCGTCCAGATTATAAGTGCCGAGCTAAACAAGCAACAATGAATATCGTCCAACCGCGTAAATTCGAACTTATTTTAGATGGATATATCGCTTCAGACGATGGAATATATAGTTCTGTCGGAATGGTCTAACATTGGCACTCCCTTTTTCTCTAACTAAGAAAGCTTGATCTATTTTAGATGCTCCAGAGGATCTCTATTTACAGAGATTCCACTATATAATAGTGAGTGAGTGAGTTGGGTTTAACGCCGCTTTTAACATTATTCCAGTTATATCACGGCGTGTCAGCTTAATGTGGGAGGAAAGCCCGAAGTGATGCAGGTCTCAGACGTTTACCACTTCGGTGAAACCCACGAGCACGGGTTTGGTGCTGACAAACCTAGAAACATAATTGGGGCGAACCGGGATTCGAACCCACAATCATAGGTTTCTGGCGTGCCCAAGGGACGCAACTCTGCACAGCGAATCGCGGCGCCTTAGACGACTGGGCCCCCCGTGTCCCCCCGCTATATAATATGATCGCCGATAAAACATTATCCAAATGAACTGGCAGAAAAGTATACTCTAAGGTTGTCAAACAAATGGTAAATGTCAAGTTTTAAACTAATGGTTTGAAAGTCAAATCAGCAAAGTCCATGGAACATTTTTGTCCATAGTCGTTGGCGGAAACATGAATAATGTATAATAATATTAACACGTCCCATTTTAATTCTGGAAACCCAAAAGTCCAGAAACTCTACGGTCTTTGCCCAGTCTCGGTTAAAGGTATTTACAAAATTAAACATGCCGTTTTCATGGGAACATACCAAGGAAGAAAAAATGGAAAAAAAATTGTTTAAAAACTCAATATTTAGACTATGTCGCCCATGGGCCTGCCCATGGGCGAAGTGTGGCAGGCCCATGGGCGAGAATATGTTCCTTTACTTAAAACTCATGTTTTTGTTTCGCAAATACATTTAATGTATTCATTCAAGTATCATGACACAAAATTTACCTCATTTTAACTTATTTCAACGATTTTATAACGATATTGAAATATTTCGCCCATGGGCGAGAAAAAGGGTTTGGCCCATGGGCGAGTATATGTTCCTTTACTTAAAACTCATGATTTTGTTTCGCAAATACATTAAATGTATTCATTGAAGTATCATGACACAAAATTTAACTCATTTTAACTTAATTCAACGATTTTATAGCGATATTGAAATATTTCGCCCATGGGCGAGAAAAAGGTTTGGCCCATGGGTAGGCCCATGGGCAGGCCCATGGGCGAGAATATGTTCCTTTACTTAAAACTCATGTTTTTGTTTCGCAAATACATTTAATGTATTCATTCAAGTATCATGACACAAAATTTAACTCATTTTAACTTAATTCAACGATTTTATAGCGATATTGAAATATTTCGCCCATGGGCGAGAAAAAGGGTTTGGCCCATGGGCGAGTATATGTTACTTTACTCAAAACTCATGGGTTTTTTTCGCAAATACATTAAATGTATTTATTCAAGTATCATGACACAAAATTTAACTAATTTTTACTTAATTCAACTATTTTACGGCGTTATTAAAATATTTCGCCCATGTTTACGTCAGTCCCTTTCAAGCATCAACTAACTGTTTGCAAAGTATATTGTATCATGTGAAATATACTTTATATTATATCATTACATTACTATTTTAAAAGGGCATTTGGTTGGATGTTTCCTTTAGTTCTACAAATTTCACCTGTTTTACATATTGTAGCGATCTTTAATGAACCCGGCCTTACCTCTCAAAACGTTTTGACAGTTTATCATACGAATTCATGTGCGTGTACTCCAATTCATTGGAGTTATTTTCCACAACATTAAATTTTAGTTAGTTTCTATTTCATTTCCCATTTAATGTCCCGTTGATACATCACACTGGGCAATTACGTGACACCAGGTATGCAATATACAGGTACGCGTGCGCGTATTTTAATGAAAAAAACTATTCGTCTTTTATTGCATAACGTTTGGCTGAATATCTTACATTCTAACGAAATCTCGAAATAATTATTTAATTACATGCGGTTTCGAACTGACCAGTGGGAATTATGTTTCAATACGATTGAGGAAAACGTGAGTGAATATTGTGACACTAAAGCAACTTTTAACTGCATTGTCACTTTTGGTATGAAAATGGTAACAGTTCAGAAAAAACAACAGCCTTCTTATGATAATTCTCATTAGTACGTTGTATCTAATTACAGTGTCGGCCTTATTTACAGGTGATTCTACAATACCTGCTCTCGGTCAATTACGATCTACCACACCACGCGTGAATAAACAGTTATGCAGGTGTTGCTGTGGGCAAATACCTAGCCTGAAAATGTTTATTTTTTTTAGGATACATGTTTTACAAATGTTCGTTGATATGTGGATATATTAAGCACAAAGACAAAAAAATGTTTATGAAAGATGAATTAGTGCCTTGATATATTCATCGAGATGTGTATCATCGTTTAATGGGGTCATTCAATAAACGTATGTTTGGAGGAGATATCAAAGGAGCCGCCCAATATACACAGTGTCGTCCGGTGAACTACCACCCCACCCTGTCCATTAGAGTTATGTAATCGGTACACAAATATATTTGATGCGGTGTCAGTGCGGAAGGAGTTTGAATTACGTCCGCCAGTTGTCACAGAAATCCTCAAAGTATAGAAACAATAAACAAGGTCAATCCGTACTAATTACCTAGTGACGCACGTAACAACGACTGTCAATAGGGAAAATGGTGAAAACAAATTGAAATAGATTTTAATAAAACATTACTGTACTACATAACTCGCAAAAGCGGTGCCTAAAATTTTTGACCGTGTTATGTGTGTTGTAAACTGACGAATAGCAAGTAATTGTCATGCTGTACGCATGGTTCCATATACAAATTCAGTTATACAACCGGTATGAAACTGAGAACTGAGATACCAAGTACAACCTGCATTCACACACGGAAGCAATATACTTGTGTGTATGCCCTCTCCTCTAAAAAATGTATCACTAATTATAAAGTATTTGCATTGTAATAAATATAGTAATGATAAAACTTGGTAATTTGGTAGGTCTCCGACAGATATGATTTTCAGTTTTTTACACCTTTGATTGATACGGATTACGTACCTGTAGTCTAGTCACTGTCTCTAATG